AATCCCACAAGGCATTTTTCAGTAAAACTCTGCTGACATTTTTCAGTCTTAATAAACTAAAATTTAGAGGAGCACACGTACTGTAGTGGTGTGTAACGTAGGCCACTGCTTTTCAGTCGTCTTTAAGGAAGCTAAGGGCTGCAACTTTCTAGCCTTTTATATTGCTTGGTTACAAAGTACTTCCCAGTCTGAGGATGACAGAGGTGTCTCTAGTGATGCACTCACAGAAAACTGACGGCTGTTAGGGCTGCCTTTGTTCTGTAGAGAAGCATCTTCTAACTCAAAGGAGAAGTGATGGACATCTCCAAAAGCTTTCCTTATTCACTGACTGAGAGATGTAAAGAGGTCTCTGACCAGTTGTTCATTTCTCAAAATCCCATGTAATTGTATTTCTTCTGCTGGCTGGTGCACTCAGTCTCCCTGGAAATACATACACCAGGCAGAGCTGAGCTGTTAGCTGTTCTTTTTTACAGGGTGCAAGACTAATCTGTTTCTGCAAGATGTTTTCTGAATATGTTTCCTCTTTGGATAAGGAATTCAAAGGATTGGTGATCACCCCGTAGATGTGGTCAGTGTCCTGCACAAGGGTACAGAAATCTGAAAACCCATCAAAGGGCATGCATGGTTTTAACCCCCCTAAGGACTCTTTCTTAGGCTGTAGAGTTTTTTAAGCCTACTCAAAATACTCCCTTTCATCAATTTTTCAAAGAAATTCTGTCCAACTGGCAGAGTACATGAGGTGTATAACGAGGGTAAAATAAACAGCAATGAGCAGAGACACCGTAACACTAATTGACCTTGTGCAACATTTATGCTCAATCAGTATCATTCAGTAGAAAGTCACAGAAAGCCATGAAATTGTTGTGCTTATGCTTAACCACTGCTGATTAATGTCTTCTGCTCTCTCACCAATTAATTTTATGGAGATTTTTAACTCCGGTGGGGATAACAGCCTCAAATGATGATATGCTTGTCTGCAAGCAGCAAAGAAGGTTCCCTGTCAGAGTATCCTTTTGTTCCCTTTAGAGGAATAATTTCTAATATTTCATATGAGGAGTATTATTGAAAATGGGATGTGCTTCATCTCCATCTGACAAGCTGAGCACCACTGTGGGGGTTGACTGCTATAAGTCAAGCTGACAGTTATGTGGACTGGAACTTTCCCTTCTAAGTTACTGTGAGCAATCTGCATTCACAGGGAATACTCCCTGCAGATGAATGTGGGACCCAAGTATGAGTTGCAAACATGCGGGGATGAAAAAAAAGGTTTCTCAAGGCTGCTTCTACACATCCTTCTGTTTCCTTAGAGGCTAAGAGAGTATGGGGCAGGAGGCTGCTTCCCCTGACTGCTGAGGCTATACAAGGGTTTATACAACTTTGTTGGAAAATCTGTGAAAATGGCCAAGAAAACAGTACAGTGCTACATAACTTCCTTCTGCTTGGAATGCAAGTATTTGTTTTTTCCATAAACCCTGCATAAGCTCCAGTTGTCTTTCCCAACTCTAGCACTGTTAGTCTAAATGTTTGGATTTTTAGCCTTATCTGTCTGCTATTAAGCTGAAGCTGCTTGCAATCTCCTATACATGTTGCTGAAAGTGGCGTGCATAAGCTCAAGGGATGGATTTTGGAGAAAGTTTGTTGCTTCCACTGTATGCTCTCCTCAGCTTTCCTCTGCACCCCACTGCTTTGCAGCCTTGTCCACAATCAGTCATCTGGGATTTTCTTTTCACCAATCTAAATGTTTTTATTCTGATGAGCTGCACACTGTAAAGGTTTGCATAAATCATTTTTTTACCATTTACTAAGTACAGGCAGTGTTGACCTTGCGCAAATAAAAGAAGCTGAGTGCTTGAAGAGTTGACCAGATGTATCTGAGAGTCAAATCTGCCTGTGCTAGCCATTACGGTGTCGTTGTCAGAGCAAATTCAGGGTTCATTCCCACCTTAATTGAAGATTACGGTGGGTGTATGTAGTGTTAACTTGGGGCTTCTCTGGAGACTTCTTCACTTCCAGGGCCCGGGACTGCCAAACTCTGCTTTGACATCCAGAATGCCCAGGTGGCTTTGAGCTCCCAGCTGCAATCAGTAACAGGGCAGAGGCTGGGCCTCTCCTCCCCGCACATAAAAGATATAAAAGAGTCTTGCTAGAAGAGATCTGTTTTAAACAGCAAAAATAATAAAGAGCAGGACATTGTTTAGTGCAGGAGGCAGAAAGTAGCATCCAGAGCAGTGTGGAAAAAAGGTGGAGATCTCTGCCTGGGTGGTAAGGGAGTTTGGGGAAGAAATGTGAAGCAAGACTGGTTTTTATTCCTCTCTACTTACTTGTTATGATGAAGTTCCTCACAAATACTGGGCTCTTGATCAAGAACCTAAGGTACGCTTTGTGGTTTCACTGGCAAAATGAGTTTCTGCATCTTCTATGGTCCGTGCAATGCATAGGAGTGAATGTGAAATTCTTCTCTCCTCTGATCAAGTAGTATTTCATGCTTACTTTGACCCAAATGTAAACACCACAGTGGGTACAAAGAGTGAGAATGAGGTCTGGATGTTGCACAGGCTGGAAGCCTCCCATAAAGGGAAGGACAGAGAGCAGCAAGACTACAGGAAAGGCCAAGAGCCTGTGGGCAGCACTGCAGGACAAGGGCAATATTTTTAATGCCAGATTTGCAAACACCAAGTGCTTACATGTTCAGAAACATACTAAAGTTTATAAAAATCCCAACTTGTTGGCAGTATGGCTGAGAGGTACTCCTGTGCCTTGGGCTTAGGCCAGTTACACGGAACAATTTCTGACACCAAAATTACGTTGCTTAGGTGCTCAAATAGTATTTATGTTGAGGAGCATCATCTATTTCCATATGGTTTCTGGTTCTTGGTGGCAGATGCAGCTCTGGCCCCAAAACTGAAGGGGATGGAGAGCATAGCATGTTCTCCCATGTCTGCCTGCCCTACATGCAAAGGTGGTTGAGGAGGAACAGAGGACTTCTGACTCCTCCTTGTAAAACTGTGCCTGATGATGATGATTTTAACTCGCTTTCAATAGGCTGTCTTATATCCTTTATCTAGTGTCCTTGATGAGGCATCAGGTTGATGTAAATCAAGCTGCCCACGCACACCTTGAGCTGTGGAGAACGTAAAATCTGAGTCATTCTGATACAAATACAAAACTCTGACATCAGAAACAAAGAAGACAAAACTCAAGTACTGTGGCATTCAGCTATTCAGAAGTTGCTTTAAAATACAAGCCCCTCTCCGATTTCCTAAATTTAGTTGTGATTATTTCCAAAACAGTAATTAATTTTAATGGCACAGAGTGACTGTGATTTTTAAATGTATTCTATCAGTGTGTAGCTGTAATTCCAACCAACACCATTCAATTTACATTGTGTTTTATTGGGTCCTAATAGATGTTGTAAACACAAATGTGTCTAAATTTCATAGTCCTGCAAGCTGTCATTATACAGGATTGTAAAGATGATTGCACCTATTAAGTGAGGAAAGCAATTTAATTGGTTTTAGAGTGGTGGCATTGTTCAGAAGTGGGGGCTGGGAAGCTACAGAGTAATATGGACTACATGACAAATATTTGATATTTTAACACTTATTTCCACCATATAGGTGTGAGGGATGTACTTATGTTTTGTCACATGAATGACTGAGATTTGATATTGCTAGTGCATTTAGGCTCCACCTTACAGAAGGCTTTGTGTAGCTCAGTTCAGTTTCAGAATAATTTTTGCATTTGCTCATTTGATGACCTGGTATGTTGGTGAACCTAGCTACACAGATAATCAGCGGTGAATCAGGAGATCCAAAAAGGACCACTTGAAACAGCACGTGGAATAAATTAGTACAGATTAAGACAGTTTTGAAATGTACTCATGTCTTGGTATCTTCACTGAAATGAGATCACTGAAACGAGACTTCCACTTGAAATAAGGCAGCATTCACGTAGTCCTCATTTGAATGTATTCACTAAAGAGAAGATAATATATGGCACAGCATATGCAACTGTCGGGTATCTTAGAGACTGTCTGAAAGACAGGAGCACTGAAGAAGAATTGTTTCATGTAGTATAAAGAGGTGGATACCAACAGCTGTTAAAGTGGAATTGGGTAATGGTACCGATATACCAGCTTTCATGAAAACGTCATATAAGAAAAAGAACAGTGGAATAATTTTCAAATTATGCATTAAAGATTATTGCCTGCAAAAGTTGCTCTTTGATGTTAGTGGTGGTCATGCAAGAGTGAACTACACAAACATTTCGTAGTGTCAGAAAGATCTCTTTCTCTTGTACCTTTGCCTTATAAGATTAACTGTTGTTGTTCCATCTCCAATTCCTACCTTGCTTGACCATTTTCTGGTTTTGTTTCATCTTTATCATTCTTTTAAAGAATCTCAAAGATTTAGGTTTCCATTCGCTGTTTTTGAAAGCAAAAAATACTGATACGGAGTTGTCTCCTTGCAGAGAACACATCTAAACATCATTTGACAGCCCAGGACGTTGGAATATGAACCCTCAGCTCCATGTCTCATTGTTTGAAAAAGACACACAACACCATATAGGTAGCAGATGACAAATAAAACAGTTATTCTGGATACTTAAAAGATCTTTATCTACCAGTTCTTTCTATTTTGTTGCAAAATAAGAGAGATGGAAAACAGTGTAATGCTAGTGTCATAAGAATCAAAGTATATGATATATCTGAGTGCTCTCTCATCTTTTGCATCCCACAAGCTTGTTTCTGAAGACTGAAAATAATTTGCACTGGAAAATGACTAGAAAATTTTCATTTCATTTTACTGCTCTGATCTGGATCTGCTATAAATTCAAGCTGTTCAAAGATACCAGGATACATATTTGACAAAAATCAATGCCACGCTCTGGCCCCTGAATTTGGAACAAGAGCAAAATTTGAGGAATTTAAAAATAATTGTGGTACAGCTTGTATTCTAAAACATTGGCGCTTGTCTCTTCCTTCTCATTTAACAGAGCGCAGAACAGATCAGCACATTGTGCCGAAACTTCCAAGAAGTCCAAGCAAGCAGCATGGAAGGACAGAGGGACAACCAGGATCCACCTCCACGACCACTGGCTCGCCACCTTTCTGACGCAGATAGATTGAGGAAAGTCATCCAAGAGCTTATGGACACTGAGAAATCTTACGTCAAGGTAAAAAACCAAAAAATATCTGGCTAGCTACAGCTTTGTTTTTGAGGCTGATTGTGATTTGTAGATGGTTTTAACATATTTCATGCACAACTTTATATAACCAGCCTTCTACAAGGGCCATAACCTACAAAGTCCGCTTATCTAATTGTTCCTGTTGTTTTCAACAGGCTTGCTCCTGTAATAGAGGCTTAGGATTTTGTCTAGTAGCTTTAGGTCTAGCCAATTTGTATTTATATTGGAAAGCAGTAATTTATGGGGAGTAGATACCTGCAATATGTTAACATCGGAGGGTTTCCAGGGGATGTTTCCCTAGTTTTCAAGATGAAGATAAATCTGGTAGAAGAACAGAATAGAGTCTCCTACAAATCAGAAAAAAAGAATAATTGTGGAAAATAGTGCGTAATTATTTTTGAATCAGCAAAGCTAAAAGGCACAACTCCAGTTGGTTGCAGCATCCCACATATGTTATTTCTCCTCTGACTGATAAGTCCATAATTTGTTAGATGTATGTCTCTTCTTTTTATAAACCCCAAATTCCTGTGACTGGATGCCAAAAGAAACGTGAAAACATAGATTTCATTGACCTTCAGCAAGGAGGAATCACCTACTTTATCTCAAAACATATACTTACAGATATGGGTACTTGCTGCAATAACATCTATGGAAAAGAAGAGAAAACACTTTCAGTCTGTTGTTGGTAGTACATCCGTATGTGTAAAGCTTAAGGAAGCTTTACAGAACATGGACCCCTGTGTACATCCAGCTGATGTTTCTTATAGAGGAATCGCTTGAACAAACACGTGATGGTGGAGGTCACTGACCTGTGTGAAATTTTACCCGAGGCAAAATCGTGGCAGGTTGCACATGCTCATTATGGCATTCTCAGGGAGATGCTCGTTACTCTTTCTCCATAAGAATTTCTGCCATTTCTCTTCTCAGGGTCGGAGAGCCCTGCAGTGGGCCCCAGCCCTGCCATCGTGCTTTGGTATGGGATAGTAAGTCTTCAAAAGTGGCACCAATTCTTTGAAGAAGTGGCTGAAAAACCCTTGATCACATCCTCTCTGACAACATAACTGAATGCTTTAATAACTAATAGGATTTTAAAATGTTACTTGTCCTTCTGAATATTACTACTGATATTTAAATGAGTGGCTATTTATATGGTTTATCTAACATACAGGATTAAAACATTTTATGCTGTTCATATACACGGACTCTTTAGAAAGCCATCATCTGTAACATTTTCTCCTCATGCTATGCTAAAATATAATTTTTTTATAATCAAGCTGTAAAGCCTTAAGGATGAAACAAAAACATGACACTGAAATCAATTTGCATCTAATTTAGCAATCACATTAGTGCTAACAACACGCAGGTGATTTTGTTACAGAAGAGGAATTGTATCTCTAGTTCATTCCCCCAAATTACCCATCCCGCAGTTGTCGCATAAAGAACAATTTCAAACTGTTACGTAAAAAGTGAATGAATTCTCTTTCTTGCAGGACTTGAGCTGCCTCTTCGAGCTATACTTGGAGCCCCTTCAAAATGAAACCTTCCTTACCCAGGATGAGGTGAGGGAATAACTGAAAGATGTGCTTTTCATTCTTTTATGGGTTAAGACCTTGGCACTTGAGTTTTGCATTGCTGAGAGCATGACAGAAAAAGCAAATGACGAGGATAACAATAGAATTACACCAATCAGTGCCTTTCTGTCTGGTCTGTGCATCACTGCTTTTTTTAAAGGGTAATTGTTCTTCTGACTTAACTGCTAAGAAATATTTGGGGTTTTTGTAAGGATTTTTTTATAAAAGTTTGAAAAGTATTAACAAAGATGTTACTGGCCTTTGCAACCTTTTTGTGTGTCACATCTCCTTAGTGGACTGTTTTGGCAAGGCCATTGTTAGGTGCATGGAGCGCTGTATTTCATAGCCTGATGGTTTTCACAGATGGAGTCCTTGTTCGGCAGTCTGCCAGAAATGCTGGATTTCCAGAAGGTGTTTCTGGAGACCCTTGAAGATGGAATATCTTCTTCCTCAGATTTTAATACACTGGAAACACCGTCCCAGTTCCGGGTAAGTATTTCATCATTTAACACTTTGTAGTGTGCCTGCAAATGTTTGTGAAATTCTGGCTTTAAGAACTCTTAAGTTTTATATGCTTTTATGTTTGAAGCTTTACTTTGGATTACAGCCATCTATTCAGCCGTGAAAGATAAGTGCTATTTTTCATGGTTTTATGTTTCTCTTTCCCACGGCAGAAGATGCAACATGGACGATGCAGAGTAGACTTTGAGTAGGCTATAAAGTAGCAATGCTTATGATGCAGAACTCCTTTGTAGAACGGTTATTGCTGCTGTGCTGAATTTTGTCCTGCCCTGTGCTTCTCCCCACTGTGCCCAGTTCACCCGCTCCAGACTGCGAACTTTTCCTGTTAAATACTGCATGAGTTTCTCATGTTGTGAGGTCCAAGAAGAGGGCCTACAAATTGTAAAAGGTTGTAGACTGTGTCACAGTGGCATCACCCAGTACCTGCCCTAACCGGAGGAAGAAGGTTCCCTGGCGATGGAGTCCCTGGCTTGGCACCGGGCGAGACTACTGACAGGTCTCCCGGACATTTGCTGCCTTTCTTGCAGCAAACATTGATTAAAAAGAGGGGAGAGGGCTGGTCTCCTCCTCCCTCACTACTCCTCTTTCTTCTCTTTGCTTTGGGAAGTATTTTTCTAAAAACATCTCCCTCGTGATTCAATCCCTGCCACATTTTCCCAACCTCCGCTTCATCCAAGCACATCAGAGGTGCCCTGTAATTACCACGTGCCTGAAAGAAGGAAAACAGTTGGAAAACAATCCTCTGTTGTTTGTTTTACACCGTCACTTCTGGCTTTGGCATTTCTATGCCTTGCTTCCTATTGCTCCTGCTTTTTCCCAGCACAACATACCCTGTTACATGTCTGTTGATTTTTCTTCCTGTGTTGCCTGAAAGATACAGTAAGGCAGAATATCTGCAGGGGTGTTACCTGCTCAGGGAGAAAGGAGGAAATTGCAGGCTTTGCCTAAATAGGCTGAACTCTACACTCAGAGAAATACAAAAACATCATGGAGTTACTACCAATAGTATATTCATGTTTTTTATATATACATATAGATACACATTAAAAAAAATATAGGCTATGTATAGAAAGAGAGCGGATAATCACACTGTTGAGTCTGTGTGTTATGTGCCTGAATACTTATTTAGAATTCTAGCAATCAATTAATACTTTGCTGGTGTTGATTTCAGAAATTGCTGTTTTCCCTCGGAGGCTCCTTTCTGTATTATGCTGACCACTTTAAACTGTACAGTGGCTTCTGTGCAAACCACATCAAAGTTCAGAAAGTTCTTGAGAGAGGTAATTTATTGTCTTCATTATTGTAATTCATTTGCATGAATTTAAACTGCAGTGCACTACTGTAACAGATCTCGTCGACTTGCAGAGAATATTGGTGCAAAGCAAGGACTAATCAGATATTTTTCAATAGGAATAGCTAAGATCTGCGGCTCTGCTGAAGCATGGTATAGAATTGAAGGGCTAAGATTCTTTTTGTAACATCCAGGCAGTAGCCTGAATAGATACAAAAACATCTTCACAAGTTTGTGCTGTCTGCAGATCCAGCTCATACACCAAAAAGCAGCAACAAAGGGTAGAACAAGTTAGGAATTACTTCCTCTGCCATTCGCTGTAGTGCAGTGGAAAAATTACATTGAGGAGTAATCTCACCTTGATACAATTGCGCTCTCAGGCCTTATGTATGTTATTTAAAGCAGGAAATGATTACGAAATCAATAGTGTAAACTGCTTTGTAAACCATCTGTTGGAAAGGATGAGATTTCTGGTGCTGGTTACAAGTTGCAATTCTGTGCTTTCAAATTACTGTAGTTTCTGTGACTTCCATGTTCAACTGACCAACTCTTTTATTTACATGTAGCCAAAACAGACAGTGCCTTTAAGGCCTTTCTGGATGCTCGAAATCCCACAAAGCAACACTCTTCTACACTGGAGTCGTATCTCATAAAGCCTGTTCAGAGAGTGCTGAAATATCCTCTGCTTTTAAAAGAGCTGGTGTCTCTGACAGACAACGAGAGTGAGGAGCACTATCATTTGACAGGTAACTTCTTCCTTTCATCTACAGGAATGAATATGAGTTTAGTTTTATTTCCAGCTCTTTCTGAAGATGCAGGTAGCCATTTAGTAGATAGCACAGAACTTGTCAAAACCTAGAGAGAATTCCCTCCCTCTGCTTAAAAATACTAAGTAGCTTTTTCATGCTTTTAGCAAAAAGTCCTACTTGCTATGTCCGAGTCCCTGTGAGAAGTAGATATGCCCAGGATTTGCCAAGGCAAATAGGACTGGAGTCTTTCTCCTCAATTCTTGCACAGGAACATGACATGTCCTAGTGTTACTTTGTTTTTTTTCCACCACTTGGGAAACACTGACCAAAGCTCCATCTTGTGGTTATGATTCAGTTCTTGAAGTGTGTCAAAGTTTAAGGACATCACAGAAGGAAATTTTATCTGTTTGAGATTTGGCTGTGACTCCTGCTTGTGTAGAAGGGATCTGTATCAAGGCTTTGCAGTCTTCCCATCTAGAAAGACTTATCTGTCTCACATGTATTAGAATTGCTTGCTTTTCTAGGCTTGGATGCTTGGGACTTCACCCTGGCAAATTCCAGTTCAGATCTGTCAGCAGCTAGTGGATGAAAGTCTAGAGATTTATTATTTTATGGATTGATTGTCATTTTAACAAAATCAATTCAGGCAAAATACGTTGTCAGCAAAAAGTCATGAGGCTGTCACTGACTGCAAAGGGAGCTTCTAATAATACTGTTCCCTTGCCCTTACAGCCAAGCTGGGGATGACTTACTTGCAGGTCAGGATGGATGCCAAACTGCTAAAAGGCTGCACCATTACGAGCTAGCAAGACTGGAGAAACGAAGTGCCCTTCTCCCACTCCTTTCTGAATTAACACAAAAGTCTAATGAAATCGAGTGTTGTTCTTGCTTGGAAAACAAAATTTAAACAAAACCTGGACATCAGCATTTAATTTCCTGGATACAATCCATGAGGAGCTTGTACAACCTAGCACTGTATTTCTTTGTCCGTCCTGTGATGAGCCAAATGCAATTTGTTTCCCTTAAAGCTCATCAGAGGACTTATTCTAGGATGCGTGTAGATTACTCTAGAGAGCCTAGTAGCCCTATATAAGTTAACCATGGTTACGCTCATGCTGTTATAAATATTCATAGATCTGGGAGCTTATCACTGGAATGCTTAGTGTAGCCTTTTTGGGCACTTAGGACACCAGATGAGCATTTTTCACTTACTCTGATCAGGAAGCATTCCCTCTACTGTTGCTATGAGAAAGCACTGATATAAAGCAAGAATTCTGTTCACCAAACCTTGGGAACACTGTGTCATTTCTCCTGCCTCAAGTGGAATTCAATAAAAAAATGTCATGTTTAGAAAATACAGTTGAATTACATAGCTGACTATGAAATTTTTAAACCTTACAGAAGCGCTGAAGGCAATGGAAAAAGTAGCAAGTCACATCAACGAGATGCAGAAGATATATGAAGATTATGGCACTGTATTTGACCAACTGGTTGCAGATCAAAGTGGGACAGAGAAGGAGGTAAGAGAAGGAACGCCACAGTTTATTCACTCCTGAAGCATTACCCTGCTTGCCATTGGGTCTTTATGTCTTCCTGAGGTAATTTTCGGAACTTATTTGTGCTGGGCTTCCTCCATTCTCCTTTAATATTTTGACTTCCATTTCTTATCTGCCTGTCAAGTTTCTTTTTGTCAGTTGGTTACGGTAAAATTTTCAGACAGCTGCCAGAGCTGCCTTCCGGACTGACAAGAATTGCAAGCGGGAGTAGACATAGTTTTCAGCAGGAAAAAATCTTCCACTTCTCAAATGTTGCCAAGATTATCCGTGCCCCAAGGCATTCAGATTTTATGCTGTAGAGTTCTTAAGATATTTTTTCACCCGTATAAATGAAAATGGCAATTCAAGGGATTTCACATTAAGGTTTGTTATTCTCATTCTCTACGCTTCCAGTGCTGAGGCATCCACTGGTATTTGTCAGAGCAAAAACCATTAGTTAAACAGACCATGGGCACGCATCTCCCAGAACTGGGGCAGCGAGGTCTCAACTTGGCCATTTACATCATGCGATTACTAAGCAGATCGAATCTGTAAAGGTGGAGATCAGAGATGAGAGATGCCGGCTCAGTTGTTTTATTTCCTCCTAGTGAAAGCCAAATCGCCCCTGTTGGTTACCTGGTTTCTCATCATTTATGGGGAAACAAAACTTGACAGCCTGGGTGATTCTTCACAGTGTTACGTTGTGTCCCACAGAAGAAAGTGGCCTCAGAGTACAAGACCTCCATTAATTCTGCCATTGGCAATGTCATTAATACTAATTAATACTAATTACTCTACAGGAGTTAAAGATACTTACAGCTAATAAATGAGACAGTTTACAACTGGCTATATGTAAGTGATGGATCATCAGATCAACTAAATATTCTTCTAAGTTACTAATCAAAAGAACTACTATCCAACTTCTGTAACTTAGGGACTATTACTTTTTAGAGTTGTTACCTATTTTAAAAAGGGGGTTACTCACACTTTTCCTGCTGTAGTGCAGCGCGCTCTGCCTTTCTCTCTGTACCTAAGAGGAAATACAGAAGACATAGATCCTTGAAGTTATTGATGTGTACTCATTAACGTTTTACTCACATATGTGGATCGCAGCACTGATGTACATGTTTATACTATTTATTTATGTTATCTACTGTTATAATTTAATACAGGTGACAGAGCTTTCAATGGGAGAACTTCTGATGCACTCTGCAGTTTCCTGGCTGAATCCTTTCCCATCGCTGGGCAAAGCAAGAAAAGACCTTGAACTTACAGTGTTTGGTAAGTGTCTTCCCTCATGACTCTCTGCTCTTTCAAATCCATAGATTACCACATTAAATCTTCTCACAAGATGAAAGCCACCATCTCCTTTCCCTGTGGCCATGTGATAGCTAGGGTAGACTTACATCTGATAAAATACATCATTGTATTTCCTAATATGAGGGAAGTTTCCATTCGTTTGTTTGCTGTTGCCATTTGCTCTGTGAGCCAACCTCAGCTGCTCTCCTGCCTGTATGTAAACTATGAAAATCAGTGATGTTCAAGAGGCAATATTCTCTTTAGAACAATTTGCTAATCAGGCTTTCAAAGGATAGTGGTAGAAAAATCATGATTTATTGTACTTTTGTGAATGCAGGCTAACTTGTTTTACAGCTACTGCATCGAAATCCCCATCCAGATTATTTTAACCTGAAAAATGGATGTGGAAATGAGAGCATACAAACAAAGAGTTTTATTTAATAGTATAGATATAATTAATCATTTAATAATTACCTAAGTAATTAAATCTTCCCGTGAAACATCTTAGGCACTTCTCCATTTTTTTAAAAAATATTTCTGTAAAATGTCAGAACAACTCCAGGTTGATGAGAGACAGGTTTCTCTTTTCTCGGGGCTGTGGTGCACTCCTTCCCTGGGAAGCACGACAGGTATGGGGAGGGGCTGCTTCCAACAGAAGAACAAACAGGAGCTACCTGCCAGGTTCCTTGGCTGAGCTCCTCAGTGATCCGCCTACGCCAGACACTTTGCAGCAGGACAGGGATGGATGAAAGGGCTGTGGCCTGATGCTCACCTTCAACTGCTCGTTAGCCGCTTGAGAAACCAAATTTTATTCTCAGTTCAAACCCTACGTGGGCAGCTTAGAAAATGCACCTGCTATGTGGAACTGAAGGAAACTGCCAAGCTCTGGGGTTAATGCTGTGCTCGCTATGGCTGCATCCTGGCTTCGTGTAAGGATGAGACTCGACTGCATGCCATCGCCTCTCTCTCCTCTTCCACTGGAAGGAAACATGAATGCTTGAGTAGGGATAGAGCTGTACTGCCCTGGAGTCCAATCTGGGATCCAGGACTGCTCTGCAGAGCCATCCCTTGGTTCACCTGCAGCTTCAACGCCCCCGTGTTTCTCTTCCTCCTTACAGATGAGAGAGAACATGTCCTTGCCTCCCTGGAGGCCAAGTGATTAGATAACATTAGTGAGCTGCTCCCGTCGGATGTAGTGGAAGCCAGAGAATTCCTGCAGATGGAAAAGCAGGAATTGAGATGTTTGAGTTTCCAGCTAAACAAAAGCTGAACTGCAGGCAGAACAGACTTAGCATCCTTTTTCACAGCCTATAGCCCTTCACTCCACTTGAAAACATCCACTGATAACAAAAAGAAAATGTGAACCTTTACATCTAACCTACATCTGCTGTACTTGTTTATGTGAAGACTTACAGGAGACAGGTTGCTGGTAGTTTCAGAATAAATGTGCAGAATGGCTTCATCCTAAATATTTGGAACAAAATCTGAGGAAAAAATACTGCCATTGCATGAACAAGTGTAGGATGAAAAACCCAGCTGTCATCTTAATACAGGGCAGGTGCTTTTCAATCAGTTTGCTTACCTCATCCTTCACATTCCCATGATGACAATAATCAGCTTCACCAAGATATTTTCATTGAATATTACATCTGTAATTAACATTTTTTCTTTTTTTCTTTCCTTTTTAGTTTTTAAGAGGGCTGTGATACTAGTGTATAAGGAGAACTACAAACTGAAAAAGAAAATGGTAAGTGTGGTATCGGTGGCGGCGGTGGGTGTTTATGCAGGGGACAGTACTGCAGCGCGCGATGAACCATACTGGTGTTGAAGGGGGAGTGACTGCGGTGAAACACCACCTCCCCTCGCTAGGCTGGAATTCTAGCTGTTGCAGCTGAAACAAGTGCTCAGCATCTGTGTAGCAGTAAATATTTTTCTGTTATTTAGTGAGCAGCAGCATCTTCTCTGGGTGAGCCCCACGTTAGTTCCATCAGGTGGAATATGAAACATTGCCACGTAGGAATGATTTCATTCTTCCAGATGGCATTTACGATGGCCTACCTTAACATAGTGTGTGGGTTAAAGACCTCTGTTTATAGATCCTTGATCACCCTGGAAGGAAAGAAAAGGAAAAGGGGGGTTATAAACATAACCGCCTCGATCCCCACTTACAAAGCTGGAACACTGAAGACAAGTGGGAAGTTGTATATCGCTGAGTAGCAGTGGTGAAGTACTGCACCATGCTTATCCTAACAGATGGAGGGGCTCTAAAAGTAGCAGCAGCAGCTACGTGATTAATGTATTCTGCTAATCAACAGTCTGTGGGGTCCCTCTTGGGAATCTTGTTCTCTAGTAGTACTTATATGCAAAGTATTATTTTTATCCATTAAAAACAAGTGCTTTTAAAAGTTGAAGCAATTACAAATTCCAAAGGTTGTGTCTATCACCGTTTCAACTACGTTTACAAGCATGTATTAGGGTACTGAAGGAAAAAAGTTTATTGAATTTAGTTTCTCTTCAGAGGCAGGTCTTTTAAGAGCAACACAAAAAGAACCCCACTTTTTTTTTTACTTCTTAGAAGTATCCTTGTTGTTTTTCTTTTTGCAGCCTACTAATGTTCGTGCTGCACATAATTATGGTGACTTGGATCCATTTAAATTTCGTTGGCTGATTCCTTTATCTGCTCTTCAAGTTCGACTGGGGAACACAGCAGGTAATTCCCTCACACTGAATACTTTAGGATTGAACGCCTGTCTGGGATTCTGTAATATTGCTGCTTCCAGGTGTCTTTCTGGAGCCTCTGCACACAGGCAGGTGTAGAGGAAATAGCACCTACTGTTGTCTCTGCACTTGGGGGGGGAACAGGCTTGGTATGTTAACAGACTTTCTTCATTTGGTATGTTGGCTTCTTCCGTCAGTTCAGGAAGATGCAACATGATGCAAAGGAATGACAGAATGGAAACCCCCCATGAAAAGATACCATCAGTGGTATTTTACCAGCAACAAGAAGGTGATTTACCATGGCTGATGTCCTGGTGACGCCCTTAAACTGTGTGTGTGCTGACCCTTGTATTTCTCCAAATGGGGGAGAGGTGACTGTGTGGTAGCAGAGAACTGAGTTTTTATTTTCCCTTTGAGTTGATCTTTATGATCCTATCCAGTTCTCTCTCTTCTGTAAAGTGTCACTAGGTATTTCGAGCAAATAAATGCTTTGCGCACCAGGGAGAAGGCCTTTGAAGGCTGGAAGGCAGCGAGAAGCAGTAGGAGTGAGGGAAAACAACACTCCAAGAGAGAAGCTGGCAAAGGCAGCACTAGGCTGCTGCAACAGGAGAGTCCAGGGGCCTTTCCTTTGCGTTCCGTCTCGGGTGAGATCTCATGAGGATCCACCCATGGCTGCATTAACACAGGCTCCAGGAGCAGAGGAGCTCTGCACTGGTCTTTCTAATGCTGAAGGTTTTGTGAAATATGTACAAAAATAAAGTTTCCTTTCATGCACAGGAACAGAGAACAGCTGTATCTGGGAACTGATTCACACAAAGTCAGAACTAGAAGGCAGGCCAGAAACAATTTTTCAGTTGTGCAGCAGGTAAGCTTTACATGGAGGTTGTATTTGACAAATCACATTAACGGAATTAAAAAAAAAACGATTTTCCCCTGCGTGACCTTTGCATCAGCACTTCTAAGGTGGCTCTCATTCTTTGAATCCAAGCACTATGCCAGCATTTTAATGCGTAAAGTATAACCACAATTTGAAATGGGAGTGAATTTGGTGCAGGGATCCAATGTCAGAAACCTGCACAGACGTATGGTCATAAGTTCCAGTATGATATGGGCAAAGTAACTGATTTTATCAGACTCTCAGTTAGTTAGCAGAAATTACTTTCTGATAAAGACCACTTAAGGGGTTATCCCTTGGTACTGAAGTTGCCTTTCAGGGGAAAATAAAGATCTCAAAACACAAAGTGTGTGAAATGCCTAACAACATATAAAGATATTAGCTGCAAAGCCACTCCTAAAGCTACTGGAAAAAAAAAAACCAAAACACCACTGCACTAAAACTCAGCAGCAGAAAGGAGGTGGGCAGATTTTTATCCCAATAGTTTCTTACTTCAGAGAGGAAAATTATGTTATCTGTTTTCTTAAACTCGCAGTGACTGTGAGAACAAGACTAACATCGTGAAGGTGATCCGTTCTATTTTGCGGGAGAATTTCAGACGTCACATAAAATGTGAGCTACCGCTGGAGAAAACATGTAAAGATCGCCTCGTCCCACTCAAGAACCGTGTACCTGCAACAGCCAAACTGGGTAAGAAACACGTTCTCAGAGGGAAAAATGGAGTCTGGACTCCAGTGCTGGCAGAAGGCTCGCAGTTATTACCATGACTGTAGTGTGTCACGTGCCAGATCCACAAATCCCATTTCTTTTTCAGGCTGGGGAGGTGGTGGAAGTTTCTCCACAACTCAGTGCATGACAGGGGCTAGAGGAGATACGCAAGTCTGCCATCTGTGCCACACTGCCATGTGTCGTTAGCTCTCTTAGGGGAAGACTTAATAAGGCCCAAACTAATTTGACTGGGAAGAAACAGCCTCCCTTTGGCAGGCAGTATTACGTGTTCTTTCCTCTGAGTTCCCTTTAGGAATTCAGCTCTCATAACATTTAAAGCTAAAACAACTGGCAAAACGCAGGGGTCTTGCTTCTTTCAATGCATCCCCGCAGATGCCCTAATTAAGTACAGGCTTCAGACATTTTAGTTAAATGAATACCTACTAGTTCTCCATCTGATCAGTCTGTAAAATCCCCTTAACATCATGGGAACTGGGACAGTTCAACTCCCGCCTACAACCTGGCCCTCCAGTGCCTGAGGTGTCTGAATCAGTCTTGCTTTCCTGCAGAGGCGTGTAAATCATTACTACAATTTTTGGAGGATTTTGTATGTATTACACGTGAAGGCAAGCACATAACCCTGGGGTAGGCAGAATGACAACTCTGACACAGGATCGCACTGTCGGTATCAGAGCACTGACACATCTGACCTGGGATGATTATCAAATGAGACTTCATACACTGTTATTGTAAGTGGGATACTAAGACAGATGGTACAGCTGGTGTTTTGCTGAGAAAATAAATGTGCCTTTTTCCTCTGCACAGCTTCCACGAGGTCCTTGAAGGTCCTGAAGAATTCATCCAGTAGCGAGTGGAACGGCGACCCGGGGAAAAGCACCTTCCAGGACTCCGATGAGGGCAGCCTGAGCAGCAGCACTCAGAGCAGCAGCTGCCACACTGCCGAGAGCATACAGGAGCCCAAAAAGTCATCTCCCACTAAACACGTAGAGAGCTCTGCATCCGACTTTTCTAACGTTCTTGTCAAAGAATCGGATATTCTCAGTGATGATGATGATGATGACTACCGGAGCCTAAAGAAGGGCAGCCCTACGAAAGACATTGAAATACAGTTCCAACGGCTGAAGATTTCTGAGGAACTGAATACAGACTCTGAACGGGATCAGGCTGCTGAAAATGAGGAAGGAGATGGCTTTGAGACAAGACAGCATCCAAAGCTGGTGCGTGGCCATTTCTGCCCCGTGAAGAGAAAAGTAAACAGCACAAAGCGTCACAGAGGAACTTTAATGGCAATGCAAGAACGTCACCAGTCCCTCGACAGTCACTCTGATGCTGCAAACCTGGATCTGAACTCGATTTTAGAGAGAGAATTTAGCGTCCAGAGTTTAACATCTGTAGTCAATGAGGACTGTTTTTATGAAGCTGTGGAGAGGCACGGGAAATCCTAGCTTTCTAAGCACTATATTTAAAATATTCATTTGAAGTCTACATAAAATTCAACAAACTTATTTTGCTTTAAAACTAGTAAGTTCATGGAAGCTGCAGGAAAACTACTATCTGATTTTGTGCACTAATACATTTTTTCCACAAAAACAGCTGTAAAGGATTCTTAAGTTATTTTAATTTATTGTGGATCAAAAAAATAGATTAAGTTGGCCAAGGTCTGTAAATTAGTTCATCCCTTTTCAAGCAGTTGTTAAGCTGATGTTGTTTTCTTGGGGAGGGGAGGGGAAGGGAAGGGACGGCCAGCCTCGCTAGTATTTTAAGTAATGTGGAAAAGGTGCTAGTGAGTGGCGGAGAGGATTACAATGGAAAGTAGCATTGCAAAATGGATTTTTCAATACCTTGGGCATTTTGTTTCTTTGGGTTTCATTTTTGCTTTATTTAAAGCAGAATTAAGTTATTTTACTGTGTTTTAGTGCACAATAGTGCAGAAATTTCATTTTTGTATGTTTCAAGATGCTGTTTATACTTTATACATATGTGTAAATACAAAACCAAAGCTTGGCCTGTAATCTTTTATTTGACTGTATTTTTTATTTTCTCTACCAACCTGTACAGTAAAAGACAAATAAGTATTGTACTTAGCCATGTTTTCTATTTTTTACCATGCTGCTTTTCTCTAGTTGGAGCTTTAAATCCCAAATTCTTTGCTTTTGCATAAGTGAGAAGAGTATTAGCAGACCTTGAGGCAATCTGTGCACTTTATCCTCCTCTAAGCCAGTCACTTGAGTATATTTACACAAGAGCTTGAGCTTTTGTTTTTAAATTATTCTGCACAGTAGGATGTCCCAGGTTAAAAAGAGCACAAAAACCCAAACAGTGTCTGACATGCTGAAGGATGAAAAGTATTTTTCTTACGTTTCAACAATGTGCTTTCATTCATACAGAACTCAATTATTTCCAGAAGTATCCCAACTTAATTACGTCTCACAGCATACCCCATTCTTGGTATGATTTCTAGCCGTTCCCCTGAAGTAAAAGGAACCTGTAGGCACCTTGTAACTGGACTGTCTTTTCACTTTTGCCTGCAGTTGAACGGAATGAAGAAATAAAATGGGAAAGCCCTCTCTCCGCCACTTTCGCAAACATAGTTCTTCCATGCCTGCACAGATGTAGGAATATATAAGCCTCCTTTTACTGACTCAATACCTCTAAATCAAGGAGTTAAAACTAATTAAAAAAATCAGTCTGCTGCAATTATGGCTGTTACAGCTAATCTTCCTCTTCAGTCTGTTCGAGCTCACTGGTACTTTCAAGTAAATTCCTCCTCTTCTTTTGCCTTAGTTCTTGTCTGTAATTGTACACAAAGAGGCCTGGATCTTCATCACACATTTTCCTGTATGTATCGCACAGATTTCTAAACTGTGACATGGAGAGCTGAAAAGGACGCAGCGTTGGATCAACATTTGCTGTCATCATCAGCTGTTCTGTTCTTTTCAAACGTCCACTTTCAGGAAACAAGGTCCTAAAAGGTGTGGGGAGAAGACAAAGGAATTCAGACAAACAATTCAGTTTCCCTTAAAGAGTAACAGGATCCTCCTGGGAATTTACTTTCATACTAAACCTATATTAAGTATGTCATTATTTTCGCTCGGGCACTCTTAATACAGCTCATTAGCTAAGCTAATGGAAACATATGTATTTACTCTGTGGCCAAATGCATTAGCACCTCTCTCACACAAGTTCCCCAAATTTGAATTAATAGTCTTAGTTCAAGTGATTTTTAATGTCTCACAAAAACGGATGCTACAAAATGCAAACTACTAAAAGGCGAAGCTCTTACTAAGCTGTAGCTCTCAGCCTACAAGAGGTCAGGAAGGCAGAAACTTTGCACATGGTTGATGTGCATGTCTCAATTTTCAAATTACCTGCCTCTATCATGCATACATAAGACCTAAAGATGCTGTGCATCTAATTAATGCAGTAACACCCCCAGCTGTGTTCTGCAGGTTGGCTGGACAAGCTACTCAAAAGGCTTTGTGTAAATCAGTGATCTAGTTGGCTCTCAGTGGGCAGAATGCAACGTTAAGAAAGGGTTTAAAATGACAAGCGAAGGATGGACCTTCTGGGAACAACCTGGTTTAAAGGATGTGCTACTCCAGGCCTTGGTTGAAATGTCCCCATTAGTTCAGCATCTAGGTCAGCAAGATTAAAATAGATCAATCCTTATTTTATTATCCCTCCTTAAGTTATTATTTCCTTTGATTTAGTGGTTAAAAGATGTGCCTGGAGCCAAAAATGTTTAATCACCTTTTATATAGAGGCTATGAACCATCTTATAAATGTCTGTCAACAGCAACTTAAAATACAGTATTTTTCTTCATGGACCTTCTTAATAGCTTTCTCTCACAGGTCATGTCTCTCTTGGATCTCAGAATTTACACACAAATGTAAACTGATTCTATTATCTTGGTTTTTAATACAGTATATGCGCTAGACAGCTTGACAGATACCTTATAATGAACTTAATAGCCTTATTATACCCCAAAATTTGCCTTTGTTTTTTTTTCAGGTCAGCTAAAGAGTGAGAGGATTGTGTTTCTTAGCCGCACACTAGGGCTAAAGTATGATAAGCTGCTAGGGGGATACGTGAAGTCCAAAAGTTCAGATTCCCCCTCCTTGCCTTAAAGGAATGCAGAGCAGTTACTAACAATTTGAGATTACACACTAGTTGGTGGTGGGGTGGGTTGCTTTGTTTTGGTTCGGTGCGTTGTGTTTTTTGGGGTTTGTTTTTTTGTTTTGTTTTGTGGGGTTTTTGGTTTTGTGTGTTTTTTTTTTTTTAAACTTTGGCAAAAATATTCTACATAACTTTGATATGCTGCTTGCACATGCCTTCTGCTTACATTGTCAACTGAAACTGTTCTTTAACAAAATAAACAACCCACCACCCTGTACATCAAATACAAATTGATCTAGAGTTTGGATACCACATTTTCTAACCACCGCCAAATGCACTCAAATCTTAACACAAGCAAATCCGTATGCATTTTAGATCCAATGTCTGCATCCCAGACTTTAATGGCATTCATTGCCTCATGCAAAAAAAAGAACAAAACCAGAGGCAAAATTCTATGTTCACCTTTAAAACGGTGAGATACAAGGCTTGTAGTTCAGTAAAGTGGCATCCAACCTAACTCTAAACCAGGCCAAAACCATGCCCAGCGCAATTCAGCGAGCCCCAGCCACAGCAGGATGCCTCCAGCCTGACCAGCAGCGCTGCCATGCATTCACCAAGGCTCAATGCTGGGTTTTTCCCACGCCATGTCAGACACGTGGCTACGCTGGAGTTTTAACAAGCTCCTTGGCAAACAGACTGCAGGTTTCTCACATTGGTTGGTTAGAGAACCTAGTAAACTCCCTCAGTAAGACATGGGGATCTTTAAAGCATCAGTAAGAATTCCATAAAAGGGCAAGCACAGAAAAAAGAATGTGACCTTTTGACATTATCCCCAAATAAGTAGAATTTCCAACAGATGACGTTCTCCCTCCTCACACTGCCATCTTTGGGTCTGAAAATCGATACTTTTATTTTTTCAGCTCAACCAACAAATGCTGCAGTTTTTGTGGTTGGTGGTTTGGGGTTTTTTTTGTTGTTTCTGAGACAGACAAATAATTGGAAAGATCACCAATTTATCCTAGTAATTTTAACAACTTCAACTGCACTAACAAAAATGCACAGTAATTACTATATAATTACAGCAGAAAGAAATTCATTCTCATACTTTTGTCTCCAGAAACTATGCTGAAATAGAAAGATCTAATGAACTATGATGCCAAATTTAAAACGGGAGGAATAAAATCAAATGCACAGCTACAAGAGTTTCTCAACTGATTTAGCAGGTGATGCATTTACAAAAACATTATCTGAGAATATTTTGCTAAAGCTCCTTACTCGAGTCCACGGAAGCAGTATTTTCTTCTAAACTGAAAAACACTTTGAACCACTTTTTCTACTAGCTCGAATGGCTGCTGTATCTTTGGTTGCACCAATGGAGTGAAATGCACCACAGCCACATCCACCTGTATGGAAAAAAAAAAGATAAATTTGAGTAGATATAGTCTTTTGAGACATATTATCTCTAAGTTAACCTCCTAAACATCAGGAAACAGGCAGAACGTAGGAAGAACATATGCCATCCAGAGGGACTGCGACAAGCTT